TTATAGTGACCACACCAGTGACCACACAAATTAGGTAGGACCACATCCTTGAAGATATATATACGTATAGTGCACAAACAAAAGCAACTCAGCCACCGTAACCACATCTATAGCGACCAGCACAGGCCTATGCAGCAGGGGCGCAGCAGGCAGTTGCCCCCTAGAGCCCTTAGTATGCCTTCTGTAATGCGACAAATACGTTTACACTTTTAGAGATAAAATTATAAATGTGAAAGAGTTTTTCTTAAAATCAAAGAATATTATCACTTTAAATATATAGTAAATTTTTGTGTTGGGTGTGAAATGCGAAACTGTTGGCACAGGGGCGCATGGCGGAGTACCTTTGCCCCCCTACAGAAAATTCCTGCGTTACGACCTTGTGACCACACGCCTGACCACACCATGACCAACACTAATTGACCACACTGCCAGCTGCCAAACGTCCAAGCTGCCAAGGCGTCGACCACATTGAATATCGTAAAGTGGAGACACGCGGAAAAACAAGCTTTTTTCGGCCATACTGTCATATGAATCATTCCGTAGACCAGGAAAACACATCTTACTATGATTTATTTATCATTAGACTACCCAGAAACCATCAGCACTCGAAAGCAAAATACCCTTTGTAACTGTACTTGGATACATGCACACTCTGCTAACAGCCCAATGTCACATGTTGAGTGTACAATGCGTGAGTGGCGCTGGTGTGCGCGACCGTTATAAACTTCACTCAACTCAACAAACAGCTACGGTGGCAAGGCCGTCCGTGACATTATATGACACCCCCGATGCTGACTAACGCCCTTTACAACACATGCCATTACCACATCACGGGGAGTGATGCCCCCACCGCTGACAAGTCCTTACGCATTGAGTGAGGGCGTCCGGGGCGGGCACTTAGCGCGACGTGCACGGGCGCCGCTCTCGCACCGCATACCACGGGCGGTTCGCATGCCTCAGCACGCCACAGCATCCCCCACACGAATAGGTCACCGCGCGTCGACAATAGAGCAGAACGAACGTTACTTGTTTAATTCCCTACGCCCCCCGAGGGAATTTGACGCCTCGAGCAAGTTTCTAAATACGACGCTGCGATCATGCAGCCCACTTAATTTTACTCTTATAATTAGTATATATATATATATATATAATATACTACGCATTTCATTTCAGCAGGCCCAAATCGTACGCGTGCGATTCGGCTGCGCGATGCTTGCCACTCACGCGAGTTGAGACAGAATCGCGATCAATTCTTTTCGATCGAAGCGATGTGCTGCCCACCCGGACTATAGCACGAGCCTCTAGATGAAAGAGGAAAACCGCCGCATGCGGGGCAGCCAGCGGGCGAGCGGAAAAAAGAAACTCGTCGCTAGTAAAAAATAAAAGCGGCCGCCACCACGCAGACGAATATATATCGGTGCGCAGTGTGAAGGTTTAACAACAGCACGTGCTTGCAACGAGAGGCTGAAGCGGATCGGACGAATGAATAATTCAATGAATGAATTTCTCTCGTGACGTACGAGCGAGCTCGAGTGCGACATCCTAGGACATAACTCAACTTGCCATTTTCCTGGGCGAACTTGGGAAAACATTTGTGTACACGCGCACACGCACCCACACGCGCGGGCGCACGCACGCACGCACGCACACACGCACACACACACACACATACACACACACACGCACGCACCGCACGCACACACACACACACACACACACATACACACACACACACGCACGCACGCACGCATACACACAACTATACAATGGGTATAAAACCAGTGCATTTCACATTCTTTTATCATCACAACTCTAATTCACATGGCAATTACACCTAATAGAAAATTTCGTAGTTTAATCACGTGCACAAATTAAACCTAATGTAAAATTAAACCAAATAAAACCTAATGGAATTTATTCACTGGTATGCATGTACGGCTCATAAACTTATGCAAGCGTAACAGGCACGTTCGTTTATACATGCTGCTATAATATCACCAAGGGTGAATAATGACAGATTATGACCTGTCGTTATTTATCCCTGACATTACCAATACCAATACTGCACTACACGCATTACAATAGGGATCCCGCGTAAGTTAACAATGACAACTGGTTCGTTCCAACAAAACCATCGCAGGATTTCTTCTGAGGAAAAATTAGACAAAGGAGGTAATGGCCAGTTTGGGAAAAAAATGCGCATGATGGATTCAAATACAGGATGTATTGATATACTTATAGGTAGATAGATTCAGGATATAATTATCAGTAAATACAGGAACATTTTCACAACGGCGATGTTAAATTTGACACCGGCGGTGCGCCACTGTGCCTCCTATGTATAAGAAACCCTGCATCGTAATCACTGGCAGCAAGAACCACTCCGCTGCAGCTACAGCACACACACGGCCATTGTCTATATATATACTATATTATTATATATATATATAAATATAAATCATATAACATGATGTTTATATATAGGACAATGACCGTGTGTGTGCTGTAGCCTGCAAGCGGAGTGGTTCTTGCTGCCAGTGATCGTAATACGAAATTATCAGCAGCAAGTAATACTATCATCTACTCCGGTAATTATCGTTATATAAATATAGCAATTACATGTCGGTATAGCGAGATTATCGCTATTATCACTGCTCTACAGTTGCCCTCTGCTTTCTTAGACCTCGGATAAACGGCGCATCGCTTAAACGACATCGCAGATACTTGCACGCACGCACGTGCACACACACGCACGCACGCTTGCACGCACGCACGCCACGCACGCACGCACGCACACACACACACCACACACACACACACACACACACACACACACACACACACACACCACACACACACAAACACGCGCGCGCACGCGGCGAACATACACTCACATTCATTCACACGTACATACAAGCACGCGCACACGAACACACACGCACGCACACGCACGCACGTACACACAGTGATCACTTAGCAACTACTAGCTTACCACACCTCACTTTTAGCTCAGCTCCACAGATTACCTTCAGTTTTACTAGGCAAAGATCGCTTTACTAGACGTAGGTCAATGGATTGCTATATTGTGTGCGCAGTTAGCGTTAGTTCCCACACACAGTCATTAGCACAGAAATTATTGCAAACGTCGGGCGAGAACGGCAACACGATTACTGATGCGCTCTGGCGGCGCACTCTCTCTCTCTCTCTCTCTCTCTCTTTCTCTATCTCTCTCTCTCTCTCTCTTTCTTTCTCTCTCTCATACACGAATACATGCGCACAGGCAGCTATGCTTGCTTTATGCTGGGGCCACGGAACACTTCGAAACTGGAATGAACGGACTCGTGCTAGAAACACACCTGCCTGTTCCGCGGGGCCGTTAGTCAATCAGCCAGAGTGGCCTTGTGCTGTTTGTAGACGCACTAAATAGCTGTGTAACGGGTGCGGTTTGCAGAGCGTATATAGTACGATGTGAAATTTTAGCATGCCCGCACGCTCGCTGCAGCGCTGGGTGCCGCTACGGCACGCACATGCGCTCTCCGGAAAATTGATTTTCTTCTTCTATTGATCCCTTGTCCACGCCGTCGAAAATGAACCGAGGAGGAAACTGCTGCGTTTGCTCGTACAGAGAACTATATTTAGGTCAATTCCCCAGTCGGTGTGTCCGTCTCTGTCGCTGTCTGTTTGTCTCTGTCTCTGTCGTTGCCTCTCTCTCTCTCTCTCTCTCTCTCTCTCTCTCTCTCTCTCTCTCTCTCTCCAGTTTCTCAGGCTTCAAATCACAATTTCGGCCCCCTGTGTCCTGGTTGCCTTCAATTCCGAATAACGAAAAATGTATTATGTATAGATGTGTTCTTTTTTAGACGTAGGAGGATGGCTAGAAATTCAACCCGAATCAAACTGTCACACTAAACAACCACTTTAAATACCGGAAGGTGGGCACGTAAAGTAGAAGTTAGAAGTTGCTGTCAACACAATTATCATTTTAGATTTGGCACCTGGCATGTGGGCAGCATGCTGTAATTTGGAAGGCGATGTCATTTGAATTGATATAGTTTGCCAAAACCTTGCACACTGTACAGACATACACCATCAATGTATATTCTTTCAGATGGACGAGTAGCGCAAAATGATGAGGAACTTAATGCGCTGAATTATCATGAGACAAGTGGGTGATAGTCTATGCCTAAGTCTCTAGCATTTATTATACAATGTAATTAAGCAATTTCTAACATATTCAATCCTGAAAGTCCAGGCAAAAGGAGTGATCACAAATGTGTGTAAAGTGCCAAGGATGAGCAAACGAAAACTTCTGACTATTAGTACTGTAGGCTTAGTTTTACTTAGCAAGCCTAACCTTGCAGGATGGATAAGCAAGATTGAAGCTGCATAACAGCATGTCAGTTAGACAACAGTTTAAATAACCAGTGTGCACACAGAGGGCATGGCTTAGCAGTTGACATCAGGAGAAAAGGTAGCAAGCAATTGACACATCATATAACACCAATTCCTGAGAACTATCACTCAGGAGCTGCATGAATATAGCATCCTCATTCATGTCCTCCTGCAATCATGAACATTATGCATACCATCACTATATTATAGCATACACATCAAGAGCACATAATAGAGATTTATGGCTTCTTTGATACCATATAATATGTTCATAATTGTACATATA